CACTACTTCACAGAGACAATGAGAAAAAGACGAGAAAGTAATGAAAACAGAAAAAAAACAAAAAAAACTTCGCTTCTTTTTTGAGGATGGAAAGAATTTAACAAAAAAAACAATACAGTTCGTAAAAAAAGTTAACGTTAAAATCTTAACTTTTATAAAGTCATGAGTAATCAAGAATCGAAACAAACTTACGAAATATTCAGATAAGCACAAATAATTTCACAGAATTCCAAAATAGTGGTCACAAGAGTTAGAGAAAAACTTGCGCACTTAAGTTACAGAAAAATGTCAATAAAAGAAGGTATATTTATTTAACAAAGTTTATGTGGTCACCAGAAAGTTTAAAAAAGACACTATATAAAAAGGTTTACCACTATTTTGTTATTTCGTTGGTTATTCGTCCTCATAATTACTTTTCTACTCACCTTCAAGACGAGGAATTGGGTTGGACCCCTCAAATGTGTGCTTCTCAGTTTTTACGAACGATTCTAAATCGCGTTGTAAGGTCTCAAAGTCACTGTAAGTCCGTTTTACATATGTGGTTCGTCCATCTGACCAGTAGACTTCTACGACAAATACATAATCCACATTAGGACCCTCTTTCTTTTCCACGAATCCAGTTACGGCGGCAAAGGCTACAAACAAGTTATTACAAGTTAGCGAGTTCCACACACTAGACGCCATATTTGAAGTCTGATAATCTTCTGCTCGGTGCACTTCACCCTCACTCTCTTTTCTCTTCACTCTCTCTTTTCTCTCTCTAGCAATTACGAAAAGAGAGGGTTTTTTTTTTTCGTTTTTTTTTTTTATGGCGACGACCACTACACAAGGCACCGGCAAGTGCGCACAGAAGGATATGTGTGTGTGGTGGTTGAATTTTACTTTCTTATTCCTGTGGAGTGGGAAAAATGTGAATGTGTCTAATAGTGGGGGGGGGGGGGTGAGTGTACAATAGAAATATGTATATGAGGTGTTTATTTTCTTTGGATTATTTTTTTTTTGTTTTTCTTACTTTAGTCAAGTGTGTAAATAAATAAGTATGTGTACTGTACACTTTCTTTGTACAATGAAAATAGGATTCGGTTGGATGCGATGCTGATGGGTGGGGGTGTAAAAATTCAATGCTGCGTGTGTGTGCGTTGTTGTTGTAGGAAATTTGAAAAAGATAGTTTTTTGTTCTTTTTTTTTAGGTGCTTCCGCATCAATTCTCTTTGATACTTATCAAAGATTTTACAAGCACGCACACAAATGTACTTAATTCTTCCTCGGGGAAATCGGAAAATCGTATCTTGAAAATGAAATTTATGAAGTGTTTATTAAGAAATTCAAAACTGAAACCCAGTCTTACCTGGGATTCGAACACTGACCTAAAGTATGGTCGGTAGTCAACTACCACCACACACACACAACAACAACAAAAAACGTATTGGATCAGAACGGTCACCCTTGGATGGTTTTTATCTACGCAAGCCTAAGTGACTGACACACTTTTTATGAAGATGAATAAAGAAAGGTATATACTCGAGTGATTTATTTTTGAACGAACATTTCTCTACGCTCTGTAGTTTACTCTGCGTATAAGATTAGAAGACAATCTTTTAGATGTGTGAATGAATTATTTTGAGAAGAAGCTCATAGTATTTGAAAAAGACAGACGGAATCGAATGCGTATGATTGTTGTTGAGATAGTAAGTAAAAAAAGTAATTGATTATTAGGTGGGTGGTGTTTTTTGTATTGAAACTAAGTGTATACAAAAACAATATTACTACTACTTCTTACTACAAAGTAAAAATGAGTGTGTAGATTCGTCTGGAGCTACACGATGTTTTGTGTTTTAAGTTTGCTTTAGAGAAAAATTATGTACGTAAAAAAAGTGAATGTTTGAGAAGGTACGTGTTTTTACTTACTTAACTTACAAAGCGAAAAGTTTGTGTGTGTGCGCGCGCACTCGCCTGCTCTTTTAGTAAAAGGTTGGTTAGAGAACGAAAGCTGCGATTGTGTGTCTCCTATTCCGAGTAGTAAATCACAAGAGCGTGCGTATGTGGAATTTGTAACAAATATCTAAGTGTACAAATAAATAAAGGAAGTATTACTGAACGGAACGCTAATAATAACAACAGTGAGTAGCCCTAGAGTGCGACCGTAAAAAATGTATGTGGGTGACAGTGACGTATTATTAATGAACTACTTAAATCAATTGTAATGTCCCAGAAAATGCATGTGCACTTGCGCGCGCGCGTGAATGTTTGTAATGATTATCGTTAAGTATGAATGTTCGATGTCGTAAATCAAGTCAGATTAATAATGATAAACAAGAGATGACAATATAAATTTAAGAAATATACACGTCTGTAACGTAACATTGAAGGATAGTTGTTGTTTTTGACTCAATTTGCGGAATTTGCCTGTCTGTTGAAAAAACAAAACAAGGAAACAGCTGTACATACACTGTCTGTGTACAGTACACTACTAAGTGTACGCAAAAGTAGATATTTCAGGGTTTTTTTTTTCGTTGGTAAGGATGTTTTCAATTATTTTAAAATCTCCATTTAGTAGTAGTATGTTTTTAGTTTTGCACATTACATGTGTGTTTTCTCCATCGTCTTTGAGTTGAATTTTTTAAGTTGCTCGAGAGTGCGTGCTGTTGTTTCTTAGCAATAAAATTATATTGTGATTTTATTTATTTCTCTATCTTCGCGACGTTTGCGTTAGGCTTCTTGTAAAATCCTTAAAATCCGGCTTCTTGTAAAAACTGTCTTCACTTTCTATAAGTGAATCTACGTGTCGTTCATACGTAGGTTTTCAACTCTTTTTTTTTTTTTTTTCACGGCTGGTGTGTTCACAACGCGCTTAATAATTACAAAAAAAAGTAATTATTAAATCATTTAATAACCGTTTTTGATCGTTAATGTTATCATTTTCCTTCAAAATCAGTATTTTTGTGTGTGATGAATTTAGAGAGTTAGACACATTTACCATTTTTATGGGAACCTAAGTTGTTATTAGGCGTACGTACCTTTTCGTTCGTCAGACAAAAATCGATGTATGTCTTCAACGGAGGAGAGTAAAGAAAGAACAAAGAAAGGGATGGAATGGATAGATAAGACTAAGAGAGAGATAAAGTATGAGTTGAATACGGAGAAAGATGAGGATCTGAGGCTGAGCATGTGTGTGTATGTTTGTGTGTGTGTGTTAGAAGGTTCATTCATAAAGACAATCCACAGACTTCTTTGAACAACAAAACAATAAAAATACCTTCACAGACACGAACGTAGAAAGCACGCGCATTACCACCATTGACTCAATTATAAATCATAAAGTACGGTCGCAATTTTGAATTCTTAAACTTGAAAATATGCGTTGTTAAAAAACATCTTTTAAAGCATTTTTCTTAATTCTTTGAGGATTTTCTACCTTTACAAAAATAAATTAAAAAACTACAAAAAAAAAGATAGTTAATTCGGAATTACTTTTTTTAAAAAAAGTTTAATTTTTTTTTTTTTTTCTTCCAACATAAATGCAGAATTTTGTTTTGTTTTTAGTCCCTCAGTAGAACTATCGCAGTTTTTCATACACGTGCAAATGAATCTTCCCTTAAGGACAAAGACAAATAAAATAATTAGAAAAAAGAATTTTTCTTCATTTTACTTTCCAAGTACAAATTTATTAACATTTTTAATTTTAAATGTTTATTATTTGCGATATAAACTCACATCAACTTACACTTTCACTCTTGTAAAATAAAAATAAAACATTTTTATTCCTACCTTCATTCAAATTTTGCTTAAATTTCTTTCATTCATGACTGAATCCAATATAAACATTTTTTGCGTTCATTCATCCATTTTTTTTTTTTTTTTTTTTACTTTTAGGGAATACTAAACAAAGCAATCTTTTAATTCCCTCTGTCAATGCTGTCTCTGATACTTCATTCTCTCTCTAAATTAAAACACAGACCAAAACTCCAATCTATATTTCTCTTTACAAAAAGAAGGTTACTTGATTATGGTCTTATGGTCAACAAGCCAGAGTGTGTTGAATTAAAAAAATTCACTGGGTACTCTATACTTGTGACCTTGTGTCAAAATTAAGCTACGCTTCAATCTTGATTCTTTCTCAATTCATTTCCTTTATAAATAAACTTTTTAGTGACTTCTTTTTCTTTTGGTTCCATTGAAATTTAATTCATTGCTATTATTTTTCGACATCCCCATATTTATTTTTTGTACAATGACGTTTCCCTATTTTTCTCTCTTTCTTTTCTGAGTTTCTCATTTGTTAAACAATCATCCTCTTTGTTTGCAGTCGTTTTTTGTTTGTTTTTTTTTACTTTCAATGACTTATCATTATTTCTTTTTGTTCCCTTCTACTGGCTCTAACAAAATCTTGTCTTTTCTTCCAAGTTTCTATTTTTTTCGTTTATGTAGCTTTCTTCTTAGCCTTTATTTTTTTTCCTTTATGCTTTTTCCTTTTCATTTTTCTCTCACTGTATTCCTCAATCGACTATCTTCTTAGGATTTTTTTTCTCTTTCGATTCTTTATCGGGTCATCGAGAAAAAAAAAACTTTCCCTCTATTAATTTCCACTTTTCATCCCACACTCTCTCTTTCTATCTTTTCTTTCCCCTTTCGTTCTCTTCCAGATTTTTTCTTTCTTTTTCTAACTTTGTGTCTTTTGAAAGTTTATAACTTTAGAACATAACCTATCAGTATCAAATTCTCTTTACTCTTTACTCTTTTTAGTTTTTATTATTGCGTACACTTACTTTTTCAGTTCAACCCAACTCACTTTCACTTTTTAAAAATTATTTTTTAACAACATATGTCGTACTCGTAACGATTTTTTACTCTATCAAATATCTTACTTAAAATTTCTATTTTTTTTCTTTAATCTTTACTTATTTTCACTAATCACTACGCTACACCACAATCTTTTAAAGCCTTTTTTAATTTTTCTTTCACGTTTTTTTAATACACACGTACAAACACACAAACTCCGTATGATTCTCTCTCTCTCTCTTTCTCTCTCTCTCTCTCATTTCTCCTTACCTTTTTTTGTAGCGCATACACCAGTCTTTCTAATTATTAATAATAAAAATAAATATATTTTTGTAAAAATACTTTCTTTTTAGTTTTTTTTTTCCTCTCTCACAAGCACACACAACAGGCTCCTCCGGGTCGACTAGAAGGGATGCCTCGATCTTTTTGATTTTCTTTCGACTTTTCCTCTTCTTTTCGGCGACTTGCATCTCTCTCACGATTTCTTTCATTCTCCCGCATTTTATCGACTTCTAATTTTTTCTCTCGCCGCCTTTTTCTTTCGCGGTCTTTTATCCGTTTCCTTCGCATTCTTCTACGCCTTTCCTCGTTCTTCTTCACAGCGTCGCTTTTCTCCGCCGCCGCCGCCGCCGTACTTGTGCTCCAATGTAACTTTAAAGGATCCACGGTTTTATTTCCAACTTTAGACCGGCCGCTGCTTTTTTCAATCTGGCCTTTTTGTCTATCCTCTTTTCTTCCACTGTCCGTCTTTTTTGCTACTCTCATTGCAAACGAGTACGATTCTCGACAATCACCTTTTTGTCACCTTTCCTCTCCTCTTTCTTTCTCATTTTATGTGATCTCTTTCTTCTTCTTTTTCTTTTCTCGAATGTTAGTCAATTTCATTCATTCATTCTTACTTTTAGTTTTATTTTCTTTCTTTGCAACAAAATTGGCCAAGCACATTGGTCGGACAACTTTCTCCTTTCTGTCTTTTTTAACTCTCCTACCCGGCAATTTCTCTTAGGTACTATTCCTTACCGTTTTATACCCATTCCCTCCCACTAAATGTGTTTCTCTGTGAACATACAGAGAGATATTGTACTTACTTGTGTGTGAGTGTGTAAATGAGCACAGAGAGAGAGTGTGTGTGAGAGAGAGAGAGTCAAAGAGAGGGGGAAAAAGAAGAATGAAGTATACAGAGAGGTAAAAAGAGAGATTGTGGGCGTAAGTACATAAACTGGTAAAAGTTTGCATGTATGAGTTCTTGGGCATATATGGTGCCTTTGTGTATATGAGAGAGAGAGAGAGAGAGAGAGAGAGAAAGAGAGAGATATTGTGACTATGTCTGGCACAAGGTCAAATTGGTGAATGATCAGGAACAAATTTAATGGCAAACAGACTAATTTGATTAACTGCACTCTATAGCAGTACTCCTAAGAGAACTGAGGTACAAGTCTGCAAGCAAATAAAAAAGTGGCTGCAGTTTTTTTTTTCTTTTTTTAATCATTTCACACCAAGCAAAGCAATAATGCCACTAAGACACAATGGAGCTACTGCAGTGAAAGAGAATGAGAAGACTTCAGAAGGAACTGGAAACCCAATCCTAAACAAGGGATAAACCTCTATTCCTGTTCAAAAAACCAGGGAGGAGTGTGAACCAGACAAAATATATTCAAAAGAAACTGCAACTGAGAGGGGGGTAGTGGCATGCAAAACAGAGAATGAATGTACAACAGGGAGAATTCTGTTTTTAATTAACTGACCTCAAACTCAGAATTACTATACATTAGTACAATAATAAAAATGTATTTAAAGACTAACATGTGAAACCCTAATAGTAGTAAGGATGTCATTTTTGATAGCATGGCTCAACTGGTATTAGCAAAAGATTGGCAATGTTTAATCATTGTGCTTGCAAAAAAAAAAAAAAAACAGTTCTGTCAAAAGGACAGTTATTCCCTTGACTCCACTATTACTGTATACACTTTTGACTCCCTCGGCAATGTTTATTTACAAGATTATAAAAATCTGTGAACCAAGTACAATGCAATATTTATTACTTACCTTTTGTAAAAATGGATTTACCATTTTATAAAGAAATAAATCTGAAACAAAATCTTTATTCAAAAATTTATAAAAAAAATTACAAAATTATCAAAATATGTAAAAAATACTACAATGCAATATTTATTATTTACCATTTTATAAATGACTATGCAAACAAGTTTTTTATTCAATCTAATAAATAAATAGTGTTTGATATCTGTTGTTAATTATCAAGAATAAAGAAAATGTCTAAATCTAATTTCATATGTTTGAGTTTTATTAAAATTCTAATCATTGCCTTTTAAAAACAATAAACATTGTCAAGGGAGTCAAAAGTGTAATAGGGAAGGTGTCAAGGGAATAACCATTTACCACTGACACACTATTTTTTTTTCAGATATGAAGGTTAAACATTGTCAAAAGATTCAAAATAAAGTGAGGCATTGAGATTTCTATTGTTACAAACTGGTGCCCCAGAAGGATTACATACGAAAGCATTCAAATAAAACTAAGGATATAATCATCATACTTATTATAAAACCCAGGTTGTGTGTGTGTGTGTCTGTACGTTTATATATTGGATCGGATTTCCTACATTTTTCAATCGATTTCAACAAAACTTCACAGGACATTGTAAAATTACCTTGTGGTAGTTCTGACAGTGCAAAAAATTGGAAAAACACAATTGTTTTTGCACGAAATCAGTTTGAAAACACGATTAAGAGGCATCGCGAAAATGAAAGGGGGACAACTCATATCAAGTTATACTTATTATAAAACCCAGGTTGTTTATGTGTGTTCGTTTATATATGGGATCGGATTTCCTACATTTTTCAACCGATTTCAACAAAACTTCACTTTTTTTTTTGGCAGGTAGTGTTTCTTATTGTTTTGCACACTTTTTCTTTATTTTTACATTCAGAATGCTTTAAAAATTCCATTTACAAGACAATTGTTTATAAAAGTAAAATTCTATTCAATCAGTACACTCATAACGATTGAAAACAATGTTTTTGTTTGAGTTTGGGTTTGACCAATTCGTAAAAAAAAAAAAAAACTAATTAAGACATGCGTGTCCGTCAACCTTAAACAATAATCTTTGCCAATTTTATTTTTCAGTCTTTATGATGGTCGATACTTGATCTCCCTGGGCAACGCTGGGCTCTACTGCTAGTAAAAAATATACCATAATTTCTGATAGCATGTGTAAACTAGTATTAACATATGATTCTACGTAAGTAAGTAAGTGTTTCTTCTTCTACCATCATCATTATTATTAAAAAATAAAATAATCTCCTAGAATTACAATATAGTCGTACAATAATTGTAAAAAAAGAAAACATTTAAGCCTCATGCATATGCAAACAACAGTAATGATATAGCATATTTAAATAACAAGGTTTTCTTAGATTTTCACTTTTTAAAAACATTGGAAACTCACAATCCTCACACAGGACATATTAAAAACATGCATTGAAATGTCACCTTTCAGAACATATATATATATATATATATATATATATATATATATATATATATAAGGTATGCTATATTTATGGGTTAAAGTGCTCAATATCAGAGATAGACTGTATGTAAATATAAAAGCAAACATTGAAGTCAACGTTCAAAGGCAACTGACCGTTTCATGCTAAACACAATCATCAGGTGGCCTGATGAAACAGTCTATCACCTCTGAGTGTTGACTTCAATGTTTCCTTATATATATATATACACACACACTCACACACATGCACAAACACACAGCAAGTCTGTCTGAAGTTCTTTATGCAAATCACATTGTTATAAAATAAAATAAGACATATCTCGGCTGATTTGCAGGCAAATAAACTAGCATACTCAAGAGCAAGAGCCAGATGTGAATGGGACAAGGCCCCATCACAAAATGATCATTATCGTCGTTTAAGCATAGGCCCGACGCACGAGTTCCGGTTGAAATATAAAATAATATTTTAAAGTGTTTCTATTTTTCGACCAATAAAAATGCTTCCCTCCTAATTATACTCGCGTTGTTTTACGAGCCTGTTAAGCCATAAAAAATGCCATAAAAGGGGTCACACGGGGAAGTACAACAGCAGTCAACAGGAGGCCAGGGAAGAGACCTGTCACAGTCAGTCAGCAGCAGTCAGCAGGAGAAGCACCACGCCAACCAGTAAGAACTACTATGAGAGATCAACCCAGATCTGCAGCCGGCCTATGAACTATACCACAAGGTAGCTGTCCCAAAACCACACATTCCTATTGAAATAAATCACGTAAATCTATTTCTGCTTTTGTCGTATTTCTTTCTTGCAACCATACACTTGTCTATAACAACATAAATCTCAATAACTCGAATTTGCTTTGAAAGTTTTTTGGCAAAATTTAAAATTATTAATTTATATGTCAAACGAAAGCTTAAATTAAATCTTTAAGTAGTTTCAACATGTTTTATTAGTTATGGGATTTATTATAAAAAGTGCAGTCTGAAGTTATTATGCAGATGAAAGTAATAGTAGTTTAAGGCCTGAAATCTAATAAAAACTTTTTTCCATAATATATGTTGAAACATTTGACAAAAATCTTTCAAAGCAAATTTAAATTATTGAGGTTTATGTGATCACACATACTGTATATCATAAATTTCAGTTACGTGTTCAAACACCACCTACTCAAAAACACTAAATTTTTGTTCCAACATCTCTCTCTCTCTCTCTATATATATATATATATATATATATATATATATATATATATATACTAGCAGCATTGCCCGTGCTTGATTCAAAAATCGTATGACTCATACAGCAATTGCTATCACTTAAAATATTTTTGCCCTTCCTTGCCTTTAAAGGAGTTCCCTTTGCCATGCTGATGTTGTTACATGCCTTACTTCTTGCCTATCTCACACTGCGAATTTTTTCTAAGCTCTATACTAAACAATAAATCTGTTACAAAAAAAGAACTAAACAAAATGAACACAAAACGATCAGCTTTAAAAAAGGACTTGTAACTGGAAAAACCAAATGAAAAAAGAATGTTAGCAACAAATACTTTTTCACATCCAACCCAGTTCTGCGGAATCAGAATCAACATTGAGTTTAAGCAAGCGAATGAGCCAATTGGAGTAAAGTGCCATGCAGATTTAAATTTTTCCCACTTGTGACAAATGCAGCTATTGATTTTTTTTTGCATGCTCGTTAACATTCGTGTCAGTCAGCTGTTGGCTCTCACACTGACCAATAGAATCTTCCTGCCTATTCGTGGCAGCCAGCTATAGGCTCTCACTCTGGCCAGTAGAAAATGGCCGCAAACTACATGAAAACTTTCGTAGAAGCATGAAAAAAATCAATTATTTCCACTATCGATGGGAGTTGGGAAATGCAAAGTCGATCTTAGCCTTCCTGCTAACTTGGAGCATGTGCATGTAAATTTTGGTGCAAATCCATCGAAAATTGTGGCCGTGCATTCGTTACACACACACACACATCCTGCCTTTTATACATAGAGATATGTGTGTGTGTGTGTGTGTTAATGTATATTTTGGGAGCAACCTTTCTTTCAAACATGTTTCATTAAATACAGCCAGAAAGGAAGAGTGAATTCATTTTTATTAAGTTTTTCCAACATCCTAGCATTTTTCCATTTTGTAAGCATTAAGGAATATAAAAATTATCCATAATTTTTATTGTCTCAAGTGCATTTGGCCACTTCTATAGCCATTTTCAAAGGTGTTTTCTCTCTGGTGTTATTTTTTCCTCATGTTTTGAATGTTACATTGTAAATTATGTTTGTATTGTTTTGTTTTTTTTAAAAAGGAGCATTTATTCCAAGCTCTCACATGCTATGCATGACTGAAATTCATGTGAACATCTTTCAAATTTTATTTTTAAAAACCTTTCACCAATCCATTTCCATTATTAAATAATGTAAGGTTGAGGCTAGTAGAGAATTGTTTGATATATAGGGACATACACACATAAACACTGGTAGCTTGATTTGATTCAATCTTTTTTAGCAAA